CAAACTGGCTGCTAAAAGCGAATTATTATTTCACTATGTCACTTTCATTAATGATTAAACAAAAAAATCATATTTTAATTTCTTTTCATATCTCTTAGCTAATGCCCCTTTAAGACAACAAGGTCAACACATCCAAATCAATGGTTCGTTTTCCAACCGTAAACATTTCCTGGAATTACATTTTTTTCTTTTCAATTTGATAATTTCAATGCACAATTTTGTGCAAACACTAACATTTGATTTTGATTTGATCATTTCATCCGATTTAAAGATGTAAACGAACATTCAAAACTTTGGAATAATGAAGTCATTAATCCAAAGTTTTGAATTTTTTGGGGACATTACTCTACACTTTTTTATTTTAATTTAAACATCTGGAATGAAAGTGCACATATTTTTCCTCACACCTGTCATATCGTGATTTTATCGTACGAAACAAGACTATATTGAATGAAATCAAATATCTTTACTACAATTGTTGACATGAATGAAGAAATAAGATTGTGTACGGAAAGTGTAATTTATAAACATCCGTCATCTAACAAATAGACAATTTTGAAAAAGAGGTAATGACCAAAAATGAATGGAATTACCACAAAATCGTCATCGTCGTCGTCGTCCGATTAACATCTGCTTTCGAGGAGCATTTACCATCATCTGGAACGTTAAAAAGTTTGAAAAACCAACACTGTGTAGATACACTGTGGGCAATATATCCGACAGTGACATGACAATATAAAAATAAGGAGAAGTTATATATATGATTGACCAATGAGATATATATCCGCCAGAGACAACAGGTTGAGGATCTACACAACTAAGTAAAATTAAGAAGAAGTGGTATATGAATGGCCAATGAGATAAATATCCGCCAGAGGCAACAGGACGAGGATCTACACACCTAAGTAAAAATAAGTAGAAGTGGTATATAATTGGCCACTGAGATAAATATCTGCCAGAGACCAAAGGACGAGGATCTACTCAACTAAGTAAAAATAAGTAGAAGTGGTATATAATTGGCCAATGAGATAAATATCTGCCAGAGACCAAAGGACGAGGATCTACACACCTAAGTAAAAATAAGTAGAAGTGGTATATAATTGGCCAATGAGATAAATATCTGCCAGAGACCAAAGGACGAGGATCTACTCAACTAAGTAAAAATAAGTAGAAGTGGTATATAATTGGCCAGTGAGATAAATATCCACCAAAGACCAAAGGACGAGTATCTAAACATCTCAGGGCACTGTATGAGCCTTCAACAATGACCAAAGCCCATGCCGTGAAGTAAGCTATAAAAGGCCGCGGCATGTCAAAAGGTGGAAGAATTTAAAAGAGGAAACCAGCGCCCTGATTTAAGCTGGATACAATAAATGATAAACAAATATAAGAGATCAACCACTGAATTACCGGCTCATCTCTTGGAACAGGGACATAAAAGAATGTGGCGGAGTTAAACATCCGTCTGAGTCCCAACCTTCCACTAACCTGGGACAGTAGTGACGAATAGTTATATATAATAATTCGAAAATTTTGCTTGAAGGCTTAATTCTGGGCAAAATATTTGATTTTATCGTGTTTTTACCTTTATAATTTCTTACATTAAAAATGAACAAACGAAAGAGAAAAAACAGAAAAGAAAACGAAAACGAAACAAATAGTACTAAACAGAAACGTTAGATATCATCAAGTACATTCGAGACTTAAAGTTTGGAGGAAAGTAAAGAATTTTGAACTCATGAGGGAATCAAAGAAAATAACTATAAAGTTGCAAAACTGCTTGGGTCAACTTTTTGGTTTTAAGATGAAATATTTATTAAAAAAAGCATAAAAAAAGCCCGTTTTGATATTATCAACTACACTCGAGACTTAAAGTATGAAAGAAAGTCAAGAATGTTTAAAGGTTTGAGGACATTAAAGAAAATAATTAAGTGTCAAAACTAAGGCCAACGTTTTTTTTTAAGTACTAACATGCAATATTTGTTTAATCAAAAGAAACCTTTTTATCTTAAATTTGTGTCCCAAGGATTTACATATACTAAAATTTCCTGTCAATTTACTTTTTGACATGTTTGTATTTTGACTTCTCATTCATTGTCACACCATGTGACTATTATACTAACTAGTGTAATAGTCCCGGTCATTCCTCAACTTTTTCTGTTAGCTTAAATTATTTGAAACATTCGTTCTGTCATTTGTACTTTTTTGTGGCACTATTCAGGGGGGGGGGGGGGGGGCGCATTACATTTCCGCGCATTTGGGGATTACAATTTTTTACGTTTGCGCGCAGCTTTTGATTTCATTTGCGCGCATTCATTTTACAGGTAACACAGGTAAAATAAAGATAATTCATAATAAATAGTTAATATTAATTTTCAACATGTTCTGTTTGTAAATTAAAATTATATATTTTTTCATATTGAATTCTAAAAAAATATACAGTGATCATGAGAAATCCCGTAATAGCTTTAGACATACATGTCAGTTAATTGGGGGGAAATTATTTGTGTGTGATGGATTTACTATTCGACAGAACACTTAAGTCTTGGATATTTCATGGCGATGCACTGTAAATAATTACAAAGGTATTTTACAAGATTCCCTATTTCCTCAACGTCTTCGGGCATTACTATACCGTCAGCAGAATCAAGGCGTACTACAAACGACCCGGAATCATTCCATGCTCACTACAATGAGCAATTTTATTCAGCACATCCATGTATTTTTGTACACGTTACGACATGTAAAATCAGTACTTTTAATCTTTAGATTTACTAATTTTTTTACATTTTTATCTGTTTATATTTCCAGGACTAAGTGCTTGTGCGCAATAAAACGGACTTATCCTGCTCGAAAATAATAGTTAAATAAGTTCAATCTACCTGTATTTACCTGAGTTTACCTGTAAAAGAATGCGCGCAAATGTAATCAAAAGCAGCGCGCAAACGTAATGATTTTTGCGCGCAAATGTAATGCACCGATTCAGGGAACGAAAGAAAATTCAAAAAATGTTTAAGTTAGAATTATAAATTGCGCGCTAGACTACGAATAAACATAATCTACTGTTCCCAGTTTTACATAACTTGTCAAAAAATAAAATTTAATTAGTAAATCATGAATGTAGTTTCTTTTGCATCATTGCACTTACTGATTTTCCTTATACTGTTTAAACAATTTTATAAAAAATTCTCTCAGATTGATGGAACATTTTCACAGATATTGGACAGTGATCTGAGACTATATATATAGATGTATAAAAACAAGTCTAAATTGAAAACAATGTTCAAACCTATGATTGCGTTGGATAAAAACCGCAATTTTTATACGTGTGCATGCAAAACAAATTTCTTGGTAGAGGGGTCTAAATATAGCACAAACAACATTTTCCAAAAGACCAAAAAAGTGAAAAAGTATATTTTAACAAAACGCATTTGACTAACAGGTCGAACAACAAATGTTCTTAAATCCTGATGACTGCCATTGGCGATTGCCACACAAGGTGTGATAAATGGATATATATAGGGTACTAGTATAGAATTCGCCAACATTAAAACTAAACGATATTTTGTAAAAACAAATTATATCACAAATGTAATAAACAAATTCTAATATTTCAAAGTAATGATATATTATTCCCCCTACTGTGTCATAAATGGTTCGATGGTTTGAAATTCGAATATGTGCACATGTGCATAACCCAATTTATAATATTCTCCTAGTTTTCATTTGTATTTGTTGGTTATCCGATACATATACAATTATATGGTAAAATAAATCGTCAAGAACATGATCTGTTTGGCATTAACATAACTTTAAGTTCATAAAGCATTCATAAAGCAAACGTGTTTTGTTCAAAGTCGGTGACATATTTATAAAACATTGATTATATAATCGTGTTCATCTTGCATGGTTAATGCAGATATTTAAACCCCATGACCACGATATCTCACTATTGATGTGAAACATCCCTCTCTAGTTTCTCAAAAATCATTTTATCACACTGAATTTGTCTTTGGTGTGTAAGAATTATTCCTGGAAATCTAAACGCAAAACACAAATGATTGATCTTTCGGAATTTTTTTAAATCCGTTCTTTAATATGAAAAACCCATTACATATTTTCAGAAGTCCATTACTATTACTCTAGTAATGGACTTCTGACATTTTTGCTCGGATACCCCGTATGAGGATTTTTTGGATAAAAGTTGCAATTTTAGTGTAAGCATATTTTATAAAAGAAATCGTTATATACAAAGCTATAAGGGTAAAGACATAAATACGAAATATACAAGTGATTCAATAATTGGGATTAGGAAACAAGAGCAGTGCTCTTATATAAACCGTCTCCATAGATTCAAAAATAAAATTACAAGCTATGATTACATGCTGAATAGCAAACGAATATGTACGTAACAAAATACAGTCAATGAATACAATAACATAAAGAAAGTTCATTTTAAATTTATTTATACATATAAAAAAAATTGCAAAGGAAGGGGGTGAAAGGTGTTTTAGAAAAATGAGAGTGTTACTGAGTCATGGTTATTAAAGAATGAAATAATATTTCTTTTTACAGGGGAGGAGTGAATAAATAGAATTATTTGATTGCGGATGTAAATCGATTAATTGCTACTTAAAATAAAGTTTTGCACAGCTTTTAATATCAGTATATTTTGTTCTACTTTTGTTCTATTTTGTTTTGTAAGTATCTATAAATAGTATTTCGGATAACCGATATCCTTTATCAGTATGATGTAAAATGAACGTAATTAATTATGCTGGTTTTCCTAAAACAATTTTGAATGTATAAATAAAACAAGTAAAAAACCGAACCACAATTCTAAAATTTGTTTATATATATATCAAAGTTTAAATGCGTACAAGTTGAAACTGTAATGCAATCATATTACAAATGTATAGAATTTCCTTAATTTATTTATAGACGGAAACGTGATTCCTTCAATTTTTTTTAGAGTTGCAAAAATCATATTTAGTTTACCCAAATTAAATCAGCGAGTGAAAATACCTTTGATAGAGTGTCAACAAATTTAATCCTTTGATTTAATCAATAATAATTTAATTAAGAGCACAGTCTTGTTTATTCGATTCTGTACGAGTTGTTTTCATTGTTGCTAATGAGAAAGCATGAAAGCTTGGTCACGTGATATATGTGATTTAATTTGACAGGTAGAAAAACAAGGACTTCAATTCTCGAGTATTTTTTCACTAACTGAGGATATTTTACGTTAAAAAATGACTAAAGTTGCTGATGAGGAAGAAGGAAAGAAGGAAAAACAAGGTTAGATTATAAATTAGGCTATATGTTTAAATTATAAAAAGGGGGGAAGGTCTATTAACAGGACAGATAAAACCAGGACAGTTATTTTCGATACGTTTTCATCTGTAACTTTTGTTTTAACCAACATATTGTTAAAATTTAAACTGTATAATAAAGAACAGGGTATATACTTACATTATTTGTAAAAAAAATAAAAATAAAAAATTAATAAGTTAAAAATAATCTGCCAGGACAGTTAAATTTTAAGAAAAAAATGGCTGAAATTGCCGAGAAAAATTTACTTATAATTGAAATAATTTCTCCAAAACAACTGTCTGGCATAATATTTTTGTACGATTATAAAGTTTAGGGAATACTCATTCTAAAAATCTAGAAATTAATATAATTTTCGATTTTTAAAGGTAAAAAAATCTGCCAGGACAGTAGCCTTTTACGTTAGAAATTTTATTGAAATCAGCTCAAAATCAAAATATAAAGTTAAATATCTTCTTCAAAATGAATGTCTGGTAAGCAAATTTTGGTTCATTGGAAAGTTTGAAATATAAGCTTTAAGAAAATATAAAAAAATATGGACTTTTATTTCATTAACACAAAAAAAATCTGCCAGGACAGTAGCCTTCTGCGTCAGAAATTTTGTTGAAATTCGCTTTAAATCAATGGATAAATATGAATATTTTGTTCAAAATGCATGTCTGGCAAGAAAATGTGTGTTCATTGGAAAGTTTGTATTGTCAGCTTTATGAAAATATAAAATTTTATGAACTTTTATTTTGTAAACATAAAAAAAATCTGCCAGGACAGTAGCCAACTATGTTAAATGTTTGAATAAATGGCGTAAATCAACGTAATTTTTTAATTATAAATGAAATAGTATTTTTATTACCATTGTCTGGCATACTTTTTTGATATTATTAGGACCAAATCATTCAAAAAATCTATAAATTTATTTTTTAATCATTTCTTAAAGTAAAACAAATATGCTAGGACAGTACCTTATTACATTGGAACTAGTGAAGAAATTTGTTTTAAATTTAAAATAATTCTCAAAGATTTTTTTGTTTTATTCTATTCAAAGTTTGCAGTTTAAGCTTTATCAGTGATATATTCATGAAAGTGAACATATTTAGAAAACATAATTATTGGTGTGTTCATTAAAAAAATATTTACTTATTTCGTTATGTTGATTAATTTGATCTCTTTTCAGTTTATTAAAGGTAGCAGACAGATCATTGAAAGGGCATGGGCTTATATTTTATTAATCAAAAACATTTCATACACATACATACATATATATATAAATAATCATACAATACAATAAAAAAAGAAAACACAAAAATTAAAAACTGTAAAATCTCCTTTATATCGGAAGCAAACTCTTAACAAATTAAATTAAGTTTTGACAGTAATAAAAACTTCAAAGTCACTGATTGGTGTCAAATCCTTATAGGTGTTTATTCACTAATTAGTAATGTGTTTAGAGCACAGGAATGTGTCACCTTCTTTTATCCCCGTACACGAAACGTGTTTCCAAATGTTGCATTTTTTAACTCCTTTCTGCCATTCACACCCTAACATGTCTTCTACTGAATCACATTTGCCACACTGACAGTTACATTCCACCACACTAGTTTTATATTTCGGTTTACCTTTCATGCCAATTTTTTTCTTTGGAAATGGAATAAATTCACCTTTTTCTAAACAAATCACAAGATGTTCTCTAAAAATTTCTGTGTCAAATTCTACATGTATTCCACCTGAAAAACTTGTAAAACAAAATTCTACAGCATTTGCAATAGCAAACAACCCACAATCTATGGAATTAGTTTGTTTCTGAACTTCTGGTATCTTGACCAACAGACGTTTTTTACCATGTGAATATATTTGTGAAAGTTGTATTTCTGAAGATGTTGTAAGTGTGTCGTACATGCTGTCCAATATATAAACTTCATTTGATTGTCCTGACCACGTGGTAGTAATCCAGAAAGCAAGATCTGGCAAGATGGATTGACTCGTAGTATGCTATCAACCAGACTCTGTATTTAATTGCTCTGCAGTTTCCCTCTGGAAATCAGTATTAGACTCATCAACATATATGACTAAAGTGTTATTTCTTGCTATTGTGGTATCATTTTCCATATATTTTCGAAATAAAACATCATTTTCAGATATAACCGATTCTTGATCTTGGTTAGCTTCAGCATTCGCATTAGCCATTTCCAAATTTTGCCCTTGTCACAACTAATGTGACTTAAAATGGCAATAACCGGGATATACAGTGACTAAAGCTCACCGACGATAAAAGTCAAAATTTGTTATGATATATCATTATAACTTATTTATTTCGTATTTCGTATTAAATCCAATAGATAATTACATTACATTTATTTCCAAAGAATCAATCGGACTTTAAAAAAGTTAAATATAAGAGATACTTATATGTAATCTGTAGGAGCACAGGAAAAACACGTCCGTCCTGGTTGAAATCTGCTCACTAGAATATTATAGCACTAGTCTAATAACTTTTAATAATGAACATCTGTATTAAAATGCAATCTATATATACCCAGAATGACACGTGCTCACATGTAATCACCGGATTAATTAAGTTGATTATCACACGCCTATATGTTCCAAGTTATCTTTGATTCTTGCGGTAAAATGGAGATCTAATCTAATTTTACTTTTAAATATACAATCAATTAGTGTTTCGATGTGTTTTGTTTTCAATTGTATTCCTAGTAAATAGTTAGAACATAAAAAAAACTAAATATCTTCTCATAGGTACTCATTACCACACGCTCGGTTTACGGTTGACATAACAGAATACACAAATACACAGATTCAATGACAGGTCTTAAGTTTGGCACGTGCCAACCAATTATTTAATTAGCTATAGGACGACTGTTGGGCAGATTTTTGAGGTTTTATTATCAAATGAATATTTTTTTTTCTTTTCACAAAATTTATTGTTCATACTTTACAACGAATAACAAAAATAATAATATTCTATTCAACTTTCTATTTCGATTTGAAAAAAATTTCCTCACAAGTTAAGACAAATAAGTTACTGTCCTGGCAGATTTTTATCTACTTTAAGAATGAAAATTGATCAATTTCTTTAGTTTTATATTATAATTGTGTCTGTTACTTTATGATAGTATCAAAATAGTATGTCAGACAATCGAAATAAAGAAAATATTTCATTTATAGTTAGAAATTGCGTTGTGAATTTCCGCCATTTATACAGAAATTTAACGGAGTAGGCTACTGTCCTGGCAGATTTTTTTTGTGTTAATGAAATAAAAGTCCATATTATTTTATATTTTCTTAAAGCTTATACTTTAAACTTTCCAATGAACCAACATTTGCTTACCAGACATTCATTTTGAAGAAGATATTTAACTTTATATTACGATTTTGAGGTAATTTCAACAAAATTTCTAACGTAATCGGCTACTGTCCTGGCAGATTTTTTTACCTTTAAAAATCGAAAATTATATTAATTTCTAGATTTTTAGAATGAGTATTCCCTAAACTTTATAATCGTACAAAAATATTATGCCAGACAGTTGTTTTGGAGAAATTATTTCAATTATAAGTAAATTTTTCTCGGCAATTTCAGCCATTTTTTTCTTAAAATTTAACTGTCCTGGCAGATTATTTTTAACTTATTAATTTTTTATTTTTATTTTTTTTACAAATAATGTAAGTATATACCCTGTTCTTTATTATACAGTTTAAATTTCAACAATATGTTGAGTAAAACAAAAGTAACAGATGAAAACGTATCGAAAATAACTGTCCTGGTTTTATCTGTCCTGTTTTTAGACCTCCCCTAAAAAGGGGGATAATCCTGGCCATTTTAAATGAAATGGTAATGCACAACACCACCATGGCACTGGTAGAAATCCGGTGAAATTATGTGCAAAATGTATGGCATACTATGTTGTAATTTCAAATTTCAGTCCATAGATTTGTACAGAATGTAAGAAAATGCAACAATACAATCAAGATATACAAAACCAGTCGTGTCCCCCATCTAAATGTTACAACAAAATGAACAATTTTTACATGCATGCATCGTGCTTTATGATATAGAACATAGTCTAATCATAGTTATAATTAGTCCAAATAATTATGACGTCTTGAAAGGCTATTTTAATTATTTTCTGTGACGCCTGAGCCTCATAATTATTCGAACTAAGTGACAATCACCTGTATGTTAGCAATAAAAAGATTGAAAATAGACCAAAATATTATAGTATAGTCAAGTATAGGAGTAAACCTTACACCATATTTTTTTTACCAATTTTCAGGGATTTGCATCTAGTGTAACTAGACAAATCCGTGCTATTATCAATCATTTATTCATTTATTGCTACATGTGCTTTCATGTAGAAATTAATATAAGGTGACAAAGTGTGCATGCTAATACATTGTAAACATGCATGATGCAGAACAGACCCTTTAAAAAAAATCATGGTTTCTACCTGAGATTACTATAACATATAACTGATAATTATATGCATGGGTCCTTTTTAAGAATATTGTCGTGTTTACACCAATGCTACAATTTTTATTTTTAATGGAAAATGCAGTTTTTAAGTGTTGAAATTAAAGTTTGTAGGATTTATTAGTTTTAACATCAATAATAAACATGATTTAGAACTATATTGATAAGATTAAAATATATTTAAGTTAGATTTTTGCCTATATATAATTTGATTTAAACTCAGTCACAGTAACCAAATTTCAAATTATTTTTTTCCTAATTTCTGATTGTTTTGAAATCTGCAAAATGAAGTCTTTAAGAATTTTTATGATAACTCTAATGGAAAATCAGTTTCTTTATTATTCTATGTAACATTTCTTTTACAAAATAAATTCAATTAGTCTACATGAAATGCAGGTCTATCTTGTTCAGTCAAGGGTGTAACTTGAATAAGTTATTAGAGAAAAATAACATACACCTGTTATTACGGATACTTTCTCTTAATCTGTAGTAACATATGTTTGTTATCAGTTAAATGTACCATAAAAAAATTTATTTTCAGTGGGCACTTGGGAATTCTTGAAACTTGCGCAGTAACTTAATACATAACCTTGAAAACTAATTTTCCAATTCAATTATTACATTTTTGATCAACCATGGTAAATCAATGAGACAAGGCTTTTAAGTGATAACTTAGCTGTAATAACAAGGCTTAGTTATTACAGTCATTTAACTTATTACATGAGACACTTGGGAATGACTAGGAAGCTTGCACAGAACCTCATTACATGCTCTTATCATTATTTATTACAATAAATTAAAATACATTGTGATATATGTAGGAGAAAAGGCTTTGAAGAGATGTACATGATGTAGAGAAGCTGTAATAACAGCCTTTAGTAATTGCAGGCATATTTTTTCTGTAATATAATGGGTGTGTTATGCATGATTGGCAAACTATGGGCTGTTATATCTTTCTAAAGTTTAATATACATAAGGACAATTATAATATCAATAGAACTAGTACACAATTTTACAAAATAAAGGATGCATAATGCCCCTTTGAAACATGTAACATACATATGTTATCACAGATTTTTGATTTTTTAGCCCTCAATATTGCTCAATAACAAATGTATGTTATTTTCTCTAATAACTTATTTAAGTTAGACCCTTGAAAGTTGTTACCGATTCTAGATCAACCATTAAAATGTTTCTTCCTATGAATATGGAACTATTCAGTGATGATTTCAAAAGCACAAAGCATCCTAAAAATTAAAAACAACATGTTTCTTGTATAACTATATAGAGCAAAGAAAATTCAAGACATTTAAGTGAAAAAAATAAGTGCAATTCATACCCTTACATTTGTATATCCTGTCTATGCTGTTAACAACAAATTTATTGATTACAACAATATTATACTTGTAAAAAGTGCAATTACTTGTTGAAAACCAATGAAACCAAGACCACAAAAGTACATATTATCACTGCGTAAAAGGGAGTTTTTATTTCACAACATCATTGAATTTCATAAATATAGAAATTTGTCTATCCTGTTTCTATGGTTAAACAGTAACAGGGTAGACAATATTTGACTGAAATGTATTCAAAAAGTTTATTATTACATAAAATTTTCACTCATAAAGAAATGTTTAGTTATTTGAACTCATTTAAAGGTTACAACATTTTTATCTTCACAATTTTGCACACACAAAGTACAATATTGCTATTGGTTACAGGATAGACAAAAATGGTAACAGGATAGAACTTAATGTGGTGATATATGGTACTTTCCTGTTACCAAAAACAAAATGAAAAAAGTAAAACAATATGCACGGGAATTACTTGATGTTGGCTTTATTAGAAAGAGAGAAAAATACTGAACATTATGAATTACTATCTTAGTCTTACATTGCTTATGGTAATTTTTATAGCTTTGAAAACTAATTGTTTTAGGTATTTTTTGGTACAACATGGATACTTTACAAACAATATAAAGAGGGTGGTAAAGGGGGGTCTGAACATGGAAACACGTGAAATAAAAATCGCAAAAACGTTGCACTGAAAATAAAAATTGTGAAATTCTTAGGACACAGGAGAAATAAAATCATAATTATTATGGAAAAAAGTACTAGAAGTTATTACTCAGCCGTTCTTTGAAATCATGCAGTCATTATTAATGGACATGAAGACCCTGCGGTCACCTTTTAGCGTCCGCTAGTTGCATCTGATTTAAAAAAAATATTATTCATAGTAATTTGATGGACTTTATTACATACCATACATATACAATAGAATTGCAAAAGTAGAATGGTAACAATATACATCAAGTTCTATTAGATTACACAAGTTTCAGAAGGTACAAATGTATTATAACACATATAAATACACATAAACGTTAATTCTTGCAATGGTACATGTACCTCTTTTGCATATTCAGAAGAAACCACTAAGCATTTGATTGCATATCTTGGGGTATTATTTTGTGCGCTCATAGTTGGCCGAAATATGTATGAGGGGACCATGTACTAAGCAAAAGTCAGAACAAAACTTGATCAGAGTCAATTGGAAGTTTTGTTTAACAAAGCCTTACAAGGTAACAATAATCCTCAAATTCAATAAAAAATTTTTTTTACCACTCTCATCTAAGTAAAAATCTTTCAATACACAGAATGAAAATAAGAAATTTTAACACTTGAAAACCATCTTATTGGCCATGAAAAACAAGCTAACAATTCTATCGAGACCTTTTCTAAATAGCTAAAAAATTCCTTTTGAACATGGTAACAGGAGATAAAATATAACCTTACCTGTCAAAAATGTCACAATATATTCTTTTATGACATTATCTGTGAGATTGCATATTTTTTTATATGTTGTTCCAAAAGCATTAATTGTTTGTTTTGATTTGCCTATACAGAGGGTGGTTTAAACTAGAATCTTAATTGTATTCAACTTGCAATTTCAAAATTCAACTTTTTTTGAAAATGACCCATATAGTTATCTCCTATTCTACTTTTGAGTATTTTTGAAATATAAGTCAGAGGGGTAATACATGTACTTGTACTTGCAATTTTGCAAATATGATTTACTTGTATTTGTGTTATTTATTTTATTGAGTTGAGTGACTTTCTGCACCGATTTTCATTGTTTGTTCTTTTGTATAGTTTTTCAATCCACTGATTATTTCAATGCAAATGCATACATGTAGGTTTAAACAGGGGGGGATTATTAACTTCATAGTGTAATCTATTCAATTATATTGACTGATCATTTACAGAGAGTAAAGAAGAATACAAAGGTATATATATACGAAATATATGTAAAATAGTAGTCATTTCTGTTTTGAAACTTTCAAAAAGCTTGTGCAGGTGATACTAAAACTTGTCTGCTTTGACTAAATGAGTGGCTACATTCTTTGCTCACACAGCAGACTCTTGACCAAGTGAACACACATTTCTCAAGTATGATCATGTTTTTTATAGTCCATAACTAATGTAAGGGTGATCTATATGTTTCAAAATGTGATCACTCCAACCAGTAAACATGGTAAACACTTTGTTAAAGCCTTGTATAAAATTTACTGTTTATTTATTTATTTATTTACTTAGCTAGTACATGTAACAAAGGTTAAGAACTAAACTGATTTTAATATGATTTAATTTAATCTTTTTGAAATGACATAAAATTGTGAAACTTTTAAAGGCTATTATATACATGATATATGTAATTATAATTCCTAAAACATCTATTTTCCACCAAACATAAATGTTGAGGGTATTCTCCCATTAAGGATTTATAATTACCATTGTACCATGAATATATTATCATTTTCAGGGAAATAGTGCTTTTTCAAATCCCATTGTGTTGTTTGAAAATAATGGGGAGAATACTGCTTGACGTTAGTAATTAAACAATGTGAATGTAGTGAAAATTTTGTAAAACTTATAAAAACACATTTTAGTCAGGTTTCGATATTACGTAAATTGATTTTGAGTTATTCACCTTGGCTGCCCTTTTTGGAGGGGTAAATGGTTGATTTTCTTATTTGACTAACCAAATTGAAACATGTCGTACAACCAAGTCTGATAAGAGAGTCTTACTAGATAGTAGTGATGAATCAAGCAACGCTAAAAGAAATTAAAATTGTTCAGAAAACACTAACTAATTGACAAGTGGTTCACTGGTCAATCGTCTGTGGTAAATTAAATTTTTCATAATAACATGTTGCAACTTCTTTATTTTCTACTTTCATTCTTATTTCTTTGTGTGTTTCTTGTGTTTAATCTATATGGTTGAAATCAATAATATTAATTGATTTTTTATACAGTAGTTTTAGTTTTAAATGGATAACCAACTAAATACTAGGAGATAAGAGAATAGATTTTTGTGTTTTTATGTTTTTCTTTCAGCTTATCTAGATCTATGTAATGAAATTTCTGTAAATTCATATTACCTGTATTTAATTTTGAGATTTATCCATAAGAATATCAGGTTAATATCAAGATTATTATAAAGTCATTAAGTTAAAAGAATAAATATACATATGTCTAGCGAAATATTGCATATATCTATTTAAAATCTAATAGAACTTTTTTAATATTTCAATTAGCGTGTTTAAGTTATATTCTTAGACATTTATATAATTTTAATTTAGTAACTGTATCAGTTTATTTTCACAAGCTGATCCACGCCTAAATAGATTGAATGTTGATTGTTGCATTTTTAGACATTACATATATGTTATAATAATGTTACAATAAATCCAACATTGTATAAAACAGAACACCATTGAGACATCTGAGGATGGGTGTTGTTCAGCTGTTTATACAGGTTATATCTGATAAAGATATCGTATGTCCCAGTGTTTTTCTAAGAAGCTGAGAATTGACTATTTTTAGAATTTTAATGTAGGATTATTTAATTTTCAAAGAAATAAGATTCATGCTTGAAATATTTATTTTTATAAATTTTATATCAGAACCAAAGTTTTCTTGACACAATAAAGTAATTCCATAAAATCTTCCGAAGGAAATGAGATCAATATACTTCATGTATATGTTGTATTGTTCTTTATACCATAAACATCGATGTACAGTGCATGTAAAAATACCATTGATTTTTTTTATCTGATTTTATTATAGTTCAGTACCGGTATGGTCACTAACATACAGTTGTGGTTTTTCACAACACCTATTGCCTGGTAGCTGTTATAGTCCTTTTTCCAATAACCAACTTTTGTTTCCAATTTTAAAGGTTAACAAACGGAAATAACACCCAGGTCAGACAAACTACATCCCTGTCTGCAAAAGTTGGTAATTTGTAAATGGACTATCAAGGTCATGTTTTTCTGTGACTGTTAATGACGTCTTTACACTAAATCCATTGGAGATTGGATGTGAACTGATTGATATATTAGTCTAAGATGCATGATTTTTTTTATTAGTTGTAATTGGCTTTGAACTAGATGTCAGTAACTGCAACTACTCTCAGATCTGTACTTAGTGTCTTTTTTGTTGTTTGGGATGAGGGATGGTAAAAAAACCCTGCCACGTCTGGTCTGTGTTTTTGTTAGAATTGATGAGTTAAGTCATTTTCAACCGATTTTTATAGCAAGTTTGTTCTTATGTTGTGCTGTAACACCATTGTCCCAGGTTAGGGGGAGGGTTGAGCACTCACAAACATGAATAACCCCACCACATATTTATGTGCCCATCCCAAGTCAGGAGCCTCAGTCCGGCCCACATGTAGTTCAGTGGTTGTCGTTGGTTCATGTCTGTCATATTTGTTTTTCATAAATTGTTTTGTTATAGATGAGGTCGTTAGTTTTCTTTATTGAACTTTTTCATATTTTTCATGTCAGGGCCTTTTATAGCCCACTATACAGTATTGGTTTTTCTCATTGTTGAAGGCTGTACGGTTGCCTATAACTGCTTACATCCACTTCATTTGAACTTTGGTGGATGGTTGTCTCATTGGCAATCATACCACATCTCCTTATTTTTATATCAATTGTCAAATATTCTAGCAAGGTCCATTTTTTTTATCTCAGCATCATGAGCACAGTAGAACATATCTTAAATTTTTTTTTGTGTTGTTGGTTAATTTTCTCATTGATGTATATTCCAAATCTCCTTATATTAATGTATCAATAAGTAACAGACAATATATAAGGAAATGGCCAAGTCTATGTTATATTTATGTTATCTTTTATCAGACAACTAAATTGCAATTGTATACTTGAATTCAGTGTTTTATGCATAATTTATTGGCTAAATGATAGTGTAATTGAAGACATATATATGTGTCATATGTGCATGAATATATTATACTGAAAAATAACCAAAACAATTTAAGTGAAATTTAAATCTGAAGCAGATGGGAGTATTCATTACAAATGAATGAGGATCTAAATGAAAGATCTCCTCTTTCATATTCTATTAATTTTTCTCATTTGTTTGAGATAATGAGCACTATACAACTTACCAGAACTATGAGAGCTTATGATGTTTTTTTATGTCTTTTTACTAAACTGTTGTGGGGTTGCTGTCTCATTGACAAATACTCCAATCTCATTTTAAAATTGTCAGACCTATATGTAATTTCTGTAATTTGGACAGAAGCTTGTTTATAACCAAAATACAGTATCCAGAGCAAAATTTTGAAAATATCAAATTTATTTATGATAAATGGACTTATTTTTTTTTACAGTTAACAAGTCTGGGGTTAAAGTTTGTTACCCATTAATTTCTTTGCCAAATCTTCATAGAATTTTATGAAACTTTGGCAGAAGTTTTTTTATGATTAAGAGATAACGTCTGAAGCAAACTGTTTTGAAATTCAGTATTTTTCTGATAGAATGGGCTTTGTTTTTTACAGTTCACATTTACAGACAATCTGGGATTAAATGTTTTTGACATGATAAATTTGTAAACCTTCATGGATTATTATGAAACTTGGACAGAAGCTATTATCTTCAAGACCAAGAAATAGTATCTAAAGAAAACTTTAGATATTTTTTAAATTCTGTATTTTACTGATAAATGGACTCACTTTTTAAGTCAACATTACACTTTTACACTGACAGCAATAATTGCAGGCGAGACACAGGGTTACGCGGAACCCCTTACAAATTTTTCATACCAACATTTACAAAGAAATCTAGTTGCTTTCAGTCTATGAATTTCTAATAAAATAAGGATCTTACATTAGCAGTTTTTGTCAATTAAAATGTAAAAATAGAAGTATTAAACCAGATCATAAATTGTAACTTAGATTGTGTTTATCAACTGTTCCAAGCAACTGTCATTGGAGAATTTTATACTCAGATTATTGATAGTTTTATTTGCAATTCCTTTTCTTGTACAATGGAAATTTCATTGATTTTCCAAAGGTGTGTGGGTAAAGTCTGAAAAGATGCTTCCAATTTATATCTACCAGTTTGTATAAGTATTGACTTTTACCTAGCTATCTTGTTTATGACGTACTTAAAAAACCTATCCGTTAAAAATCCCCAAAGGTTTGCTTTCTTTTTATTAAGTTTTACTATTTGTCCGTCCGTACGTCCCAAAGTTGGTTTCCAGTCTCTAACTTTAGTTTGCCTCAACCAAATGTTATGAAACTTATACACAATGCTTATTACCACAAAACACAGATCAAGTTTGAATTTTGGTGGCGTCACTTAAACCGTTGTAGAGTTATGCCCCTTTACAAATGGAAAAATTGCTGAATTTTTTGTTTCTGTTCTTTAACTTTAGTTTGCCTCAACCAAACGTTATGAAACTTATACACAATGATTAATACCTCAAAAGACAGATCAAATTTGAATTTTAGTGGCTTCAATTAAACTGTTGTAGAGTTATGCCCCTTAACAAATGAAAAAATTGCTGAATTTTTTCGTTTCCGTTCTCTAACTTTAGTTTGACTCAACCAAATGTTATGAAACTTATACACAATACTTATTATCACAAAATACAGATCAAGTGTGAATTTTGGTGCTGTCATTTTTACTGTTCTAGATTACAAAAGGAAAAATTGCTGAATTTTTCGTTTCCGTTCTCTAACTTAAGTTTGCCTCAACCAAATGTTATGAAATTTATGCACAATGCTTATTACTACAAAATACAGATCAAGTTTGATTTTTGGTGGTGTCACTTTTACTGTTCTAAAGTTATGCCCCTTTACAAAAGGAAAAATTGCTGAATTTTTCATTTCTGTTCTCAAACTTAAAAGTTTGCCTCAACCAAATGTCATGAAACTTATACACAATACTTATTACTACAAAACTCAGGTCAATAACAA